TTATTTCGGTAGGTTTTTCGTTTGGCTCTTGAACCCTATACTTGTGGCGGAGAAATGGCACCGGTGGGGGAGATGGCACCAGGGTGAGCTATTAAAAACAGCAGTGACATGACTTATTTCGATTTCCGCACCGACCGGTGCCGGTGAAATCACACCGGGTGCGATCTCTCCGACCCCCAAATCCAAGATTGATCTATTTTTGAGCTGCCGCCGGAAAGAGGTGCATGTATGTATGTGGGGACGGTGTCAGGGGGGCGCCGCTCCCTAATAATGTATGTACGCGAGGTTTCATTATTTTCATTTTTTATAGGTACACTACGGAAGTGCCGACCGTTCACGCAAACAAGCACACAACAAAAAAAAAGCAAGCCGCTACTATTGTAACCTACCCCACCTTACGCAACGAAACTATTGTCTGCGGCGTATTCGTAGAGGAAGAAAACGGGAGACATCCTGATACCGTATGCAACAGTACCTCAGATCGAAACGACATCGTTTGTTGTCCTTGTTACGACTCGCACCAAAACAAACCACCGGATCATGAAAATCCATCTCGTAGAGCCCCGATCCCTTACCAGTATATATATACCTGTGGTAAATGGGGAAGAATCCTCAACGGCGACCGGCATGTGGCACTCAACTCGCGTATGTCTTGAATATATCGCTAACCATCCTTTAATACAGGAATGTTGATGCCCCGGTTTTCGTGCAGGCGAGGGAGTGGGCCCGGCTCAAATGTTTCATGCGTGGTGACAATGCACCCGCACCGAGATTCTGCCTGTGTTGTAGTCAGTTCGATCGTGACTCCCCCGTGCACGACCGATTGACTCCCGATGTTTTATGCAACATTGATCCGCTGAAGCCTGCGTTGTGTGTGCGTGGGTGGGTATGCTTACACCGCACATCATCTCCTTGTTACAAAATACTGGAACCAATGCTCAGACGCGGAGAAATGGCAACGGTCGGAGTGATGGTACCGGGGTGCAAAAAATATACCGAGGTATAGTCTAATGTTTTCAACAACGATCGCACCCCGTGCCATCTCTCCGTATTTTACCGTAGGGTCGACCCCGCGTCGTTTTCCTTTTTTTTTGTCTTTTTTCGCGTGGAGTGTCTCTTAAGGTTCAGGGACACTTTCGCACCATCCCCGGGGTCAACGGGGGCGTGCTATGCGTCAAAAGATGCGCCATGACAAGCACAACCGCTGCATATGAAAAACGGTGGACAAACAGGTGGCAGGAGCGTTCCAAATCTTGTTCTCATTCTTGTTTCACTCAAATTTGTTACAACTATAATGAAATATCAGCAACCTGGTCGACGGTGGTACGCTATGAATACACCACATGGTTCCCCTGAGCGTTATACTGGTAGAAGTGCACAGCAACACGACGCAATATTTATTCTTCCACAGCAAACCGCGAATCGCGGCTTGCATCTCCCCTTGCCCCCCTACAGTTGACTTGAGATTCATAAGTCGAAAGAAGGTACCGTAAGAAAGAACGGGCCCGCAGTTCAGAAACAAACGTCAAGGTCGGGTCAAGGTTCAAGCTCTGATTTTGGCCCCCGAAAGCGGCCGAGTCCCCACATTTGTTCGTATATGAGAAATATGTTACGCGTGTATATTTCATCGCTTCCCTCCCCTTCGCTTGTACAAATTGGACCGCCCGAAACTGCTCAAGAGAGAATAGAGTGCACCTCATCCTTTCTTTGTGATCGACGATGTAACGCACCACTCAGATCTACCACCGTTGTGTTTCTCCTCCCTCGAAAGGAATCCCGCATACCCACACACGCAGCTGCACAGCCAGACCTCGCGGAGCACTCTGTTACTATTTTGTTGCTGCCGCCTTCCGGCGCGTTTTTTTGGGGGGGGCGGGGGAGGGTGGAATAAAAATGATACCCATGTTTTCCATCCACGGGGCACGTTTCCGAAACGTCTTTGAAGCGGCGACGACTGTGCCTTGATCTGACGGCACATTCACAGGCCCAACCACAGGCTACCAGCCATGAAGGGCAAACCACGAACTTCCCGCCCAAAGAGGTATTGGCTGGTACACAACACACTTCCGGTGGTTAAACAACCGACATGCTGTGAGGTCTTCGAGACACGAGTCACGCGTTCAACTCAGTATGCCTCAGAACGAGGAGATGCACGAGTTTTCAACATTTTCTGGCTGGACCCAGGGGGCAATTTCGAATAGGTACTGATGGCAAGGAGAGAACAGAGAGTAAGAGGAAGGGGCACGTGCGCCCACGCTTCACGTTCATCGTCGACAACATGGAATCACACACACTACAGTAACGACAAAATATCATACGCGCTCAGAGTACGGAGCTAGTCACGTAACGAAAAACCTTTTATCACAGACGGTACAACGGCAACATACATACTGGCAACCTCAAGTGATCACTCTCCCTGACGAACGATGAAATGCATATTGCAGCTTCCAACTGACCTACATGTAGACTACTGTACAGTACTTGGCGAATTTGCCTGCTTGACGCTGCGAATACTCGTTCATAGATGCACGCAAGTCTGGCTTTTTTTTGACATGGTGTACAACCATGAATGCTACCTACGCTACAATGTTGAGAATAAATACGATATCGTATGAAGAACAGCCATCTCTGACCCTCCTATTGAACACTACAGCATATCCGTTCAAGTCATGATGCAGCGGAGCAATCCGATTGCAGCGGATCGACACTTAACCCCCTCGTGCGATTATTACCTACGCCGTTTCCTTCCACAACCTTCCACATCACATATAATGCTGACAACAAATGGCGTGGGCCCTGCTCTACTGTCGGGCTCCAGGGGTACTCTATATCGCTTGTCGTTTGATCCACCACCACTGATCTGTTAGTCATTGTTGCCGACAGCGAACGGAAACGGATAGGAGAAGGATCTGCCGAGATGGACACACTGAAAATATTCCTGACACACTTAACGTGGGACAAAGAGATGTCAAACGCCAACCCTCCCCTCGTCCGTCGTTGCCACTAACTCAATCAGACAAACATGCAACTATATGATGCACACGGTAGCCAATTCAACGTTGTCACTCAACGATCACTCAACTCGTTCTCGGTGTCGATTCTTCTCCGTAGTGCTCGGATTCTTCATTTGTGATTGTCGCCAAGTTGGTAGCTACTGCATCACACTGAGCAAAACTCTTGATTGCCCTGTAGTCTGCCAAGTACTGCTCAAGCAAGGCTGGATCATCTGGGGCATAGCGCCGATTGACCTGGCAGACCCGTTCCAGTTTTCTCAGATCCGGACGCCAATCGCCAGCTCGAGCGTCGCGAGGATCCGAGGCCAGCCAGTGGACAGCGTCATGCATGTGGTGCCTGAGGCATATGTAGAGGTCATCGCAACGTTAACAGTTAAGCGTGCAATTCGAGTCGGAAACAATGCATTCGCACATCCATAATGTACCACCTACCAGTTTGTATATACTTGGTGCCGAGAACGGAAATTTGGCCTGGCAATTACGTTCATCTCCCATGGGACATCTCATAGGGAAAAACCTGTCGACGCCCCACGTCACACGGGCTTCCTACACTACACGGGCATGGGGGCCGCCTGCCCCTAGGAAGGCGTAAAGCGTGCTCGTGGGAGCATCGGACAGGTAACAATTACCCGACAAGAATCCACAAACAGCCCATAATGGCGTGTCCCCTGCACGGGCAGATATCTCATGTGAGAAACCTGTGCTCGGGCAGAGGTCTCTTGTGAGAACCTCCCGAAACGTCTTCCCGAAACGCCTGGCGTTCTTGTATATATCGCTCTATATTCACTACAATAATGACATTGCTTTGAAGCGGCCGTTGCAGACTCCGAGGGGCTGGCGTGTACTGCCGATGGTGAGATCCAAAACAGCTTGAACTGAGACCCTTTGGAGATCTGCAAGAAATGAAATACTAGCTTTACACCCATGGACGTGCAAGTGGGAGAACCTGTGCGTCCCATGTGACTTCCGCGTGTGATGTTCGGCGCAATGTGCCACCGGATGCCCAACGCGTTCCATGGGAGTCACCATTGTTGATGAGACCAATGGGCAAACAAGACCTGTCGTGGCCTTTTTGATTTCGCTCTTGAGTGAGTGACTTGCCTTACGACAACAATGGTCCCTGAAACGAAGGTGTCACGCGAGAGGTCTGAACACAACATGTATTAGGTACGGAGTGGCGGTGCTAACACATATTCTCGATTAATGGTTATCTTCATGTTGTTCCGCTCTATGCCCGACATCTGTTTGTGTTCACAGCCAAAGGATGACACCGCGGGCATGAGTGCTAGATTTGAGAACGTTTGATATTGCGATGCACGATCATCGGGTTGCGTGTTGCCTGCGCTGCAGGACCGAGAAACGAGGCGGTTTTGCATCGGACAGCTAGCAGCCACGGGCCAAGAAATAGTACTGCCGTATCGCCAAGAGGAGGAGATGTCAAACTAAAAAGGTGTAGTGGTAAGCATGTGACGTCTATATCACAAGTAGCCAAATTGCCAAGTTGCCTGGTTCCACTGGACTGGCGGGTCGTCTTTCGATATCCCCCGTCAGTCGTTCACACAAGCGGGTAGAATCGAACTTTTCCCCCACAAACATGATGTATCTTCATTGGAGGGGCCACAAAAACGTGGCCGATGCTCAAATGATAATCATACGCACTCAAGCACACTTCGGGCATCATTCACTAATGGCGATTCTAGAGGAAGTCGGTGGAATTTTCTCAAAGTTTGCAAGGTTTGTCTTTAGATTATGCTTCCGTCATGCTGGCGAGGCTGTCACATTTTCGGCATTAGGTAGCCTTAAACCCGAGTAGGTTTACTTTCCAGTGGAAACAATGGCTGTTTTTTTCTACTTTCTACAGTACGTGTTCGATCTTATCATTATCTTATTTTTTCGTTCTCGCTGTGTCCTGATAGGGTGCTCCAGTATTGTGGTGGAGCAGCCAGACTCCAAAGCAACACTTGACCTAACGCAAGGGTTCAGCACTTACCACAAATATGCTCCGATAAAGTTGGAATCAGAAAACATCAAAGCTCTCTCGTCTTGTGTTCTCTCGGTTTCGGTGTTAGGGTGCATGCAAGACCCGCGTCGACTAGCCATGAAGTCGACGAAGGGCATCCCGTGGTGCTGCTCAATGAACTCCCGAGCAGCTGGGTACCTGAGAAAAAAATTCCAGTTGATGAAGAGCACCAATTTTGGTGAGTTCATCAGGTTGTATATACCTTCGGACATGCGTAAAGCGAGCCTGCAGCAACACCACAAAACCTACGTGTGTTGAGTTCACATTGGAACCAAACTGTCCGATTGCAAATGGAGCCATCAGATTGTTTGGTGTCATTCAACGCAATTAGAGAGGCCGCCATTCTGATCTTAGAGCGCCTGGAGTTTTCTGAAGGCTTCTACCATGCCTACGCAAGCATGCCTACGCAAGGTGTTGGATGCTGCTGCCGTTTGTTGCCGGAGTATTCTCACGAAGCTTGTAGGCCATGTTTCGAGGTAATGGTCATTCGAAGGTCAAGTCGCTCAGGTCGCACAAGATAGAATGCTGATGCTACCTAGCAGTTAAAGACATTGTTGAGCTGCTTCGTGCCCCATGCGATATCGCCTCACATGGATCGTGGGTACAAGTGGGTGTTCAAGACGCCGAAGTCGTGGATGCGGTCCTCCCCAATGGCGGAAGATATACCGCTCTCCCAGCACATGGTCTCCGTCCACCCTGGTAAATGCGAAGGTTGCAGCAGTTGCTTGATATTTGGAAACTCGAGAAAATGCTGCAGAGTGTCCGATGTGGGGTGCATTCCGAAAATGGTACGCATTTTCAATATTCTCGTCTCGAATTTCATCAGATGGGGCTTTAATCACTAAACAACGATGTTGAGAATGTATTATTGCTTGTACGCTTATCTACGGCTAAGGTGGAAAGGAAAATTCGAACCAAGCTTTTTCGTTGTCGAAGACGGTGGTCTGTTTTACTCGTTGGTCTATAAGCAAGCGGGGTTTGCTTTCATTCTAACGCGGGGCAATATTTCGGATTTCAAGCATAGGAGACGACACAGAAATGGTCTTGATAGTTTGCAAGCGCATCTAATTTGGAAAAACGGAGTGCGGACACCGTGGCAGCCCCCAGCAGAACGCTCGTGCGGTTGCGTGTCTCGAGTGGTTTACCTTCCAATCGACGGTTCTCGTATCGTCGGAACGGCAGGACGGGCTTGCCAAGATGAAACATGTGCGCGAACGACAGATCCTGGAACACGACCGCGTCCGAATCCAGGTGCAAGATGTAGTCCCCTTCCGTGTACAAGTCAGCCCGTAGCTGCAACGTGGTCGACAGGCAAAGTCGATGCACGGAAATTCAAAGTCAAGTCGGTTGACATTTGTGAAAGTTCCAAGTCGGAAAGGAGGTAAAACAACGAGATTCAACAACGTGCGAGCAGTTGAATATTTTCCCTGTTTACATTGTTCGTTCTGTCATTGCCACCAGGGTACGCACACCAACCATTACGAAGTGACTTCCCTGGAGGTTAATGTTGTGGCATACAATTTATGACGAGAGGTGCGAGACAGAACTATGGGCAACTGATGTACACGAAAAAATATCGCCCCTTACACGGCCGTCAGTTGCGTGTGTGCACGGCCAGACAGACAAAAAATAACACACACACACACATACACACACACGTTTCTTTTGAGCGTGTCGATCGCTGTCGTGTAGGCTGCAGACGTTTATTACACCGCCAAATCGTTACTGACGTTTCTCTCACCTTCGAGTACTTTTGCTGAAGTTTACCGTCCATTAGCTCCGGCTCTCCGATGACACGAATGGGAAACGGTGCGGCGATCCGAAACGGTTGGACGATGCTCTCGAAAAACCCGACGTCGGCTTCCGCAACAACGACAACCACCTCAAAGGCGCTTGAAACGTGCTCGATCACAGTAGCGATCGAAGCGTTGAATAGCTTTGCATCTCCGACGAACGTTCGGTACATAACCGTAACGTCGTAGTCGAGGAACTTCGGCACCTTTTGTTCTGCTCGTTGGACGCTGAGCTGCCGGTTGGCCTTGACGCTCAAGCTCGACACCTCAACTGCTTTAAAGCCTCGCTCACACGATGCCCCCAACTTGAAAGCTTCGAGCTCTTTGGCGAGTATCTCTCCCATATCGTACCCTTGGTTTCCCAGAGACCTATCGAAGGAACATCCGAACCGCGGCTTCACCATCGGGACGTCCCAAATCGAAGCCTCCGAAAAAAGATTTTGGTGACTCCATTCGTTCATGTTGACAAACGTCACACCAGGTGGACTGCGGGAATAGGCCAAAGCAGCAAGCACCTGTGACAAGGGACAACCAACGATATCGTACGTGCAGAAATTCGCGCTCGTGGTTTTTGGCTGACGGAGCGATCACCACCAAACTCTACTCGCGTGGGCATGCTACGACGGCACCTGCTGGGTGTTCACCAGAGCCATGTGTGGTTAGATTCGGGTCGTGTTGTCTCTCTCCATCTCTGAAACTTCATCAGTGGTACACGAAGGCCTGCCTTGATTTCGAGCGTGAACGCTTGCATGCTGATGAAACAAGATTCTATCATCAACAGTTGGCATTTATGGAGATGACTACAAGACAATGCCGGTTGTGCGTAAACCATGGATAGGCCATTACATGGCGTGCACCAAATGCCAGTCGCACCTACCTCCGGAATATTAATTATGGCGGAGTCCTTGTGGGTGCTCGCCACGTCGGCCAAGTACTCGTATATCCTTTCCACCCGGTCGGAGTGGCCATGCTTAGCGTCTGTGCGTGCCACCAGCTTCTGATTGCCTTCCAACACAGCTCGGAGCTGTGCGTTAGTTTCCGCCGGGAGGATGAGATCACTCCCATGAGTAAACGTCGGCGTGGTTACCCCTAAAAGAACCGAGCTGCCCATTCCACGGGCTGCGGTTGGTTGGGGGACTTCATCTGTGTTGACAAGGGACACAATGAGATCCCCCGTGACCGTGTGCGTGTCCTTCTTCGTAAAGGTGCGACTGAGCATCTCCCCGGCATCCATGTAGTAGATCAAGCGTGTTCCTTCGCCACAGATATAGTCCGCGACCAAAGGCCCATGCTCAACGTTGGTCGAAGTTCCAACGGTGACGTTAGGAAGGTGTCCGAACGTCCTGATGTTTACAAGATAGACACCACAGCAGTCACCGCAAAGAACGTTGAATTCACTCAGAGGCAGGGGTGGAGGACGTGAGTACCCGGAAGGAAAGGCGAATCTGTTCCGCATGATACATGTACAATAACTCGAAATTAAGCCTCCGAGGACCATCGGAAGGCTGACGATATACATGGAACCATCGAAGAAAAAGGTCGTCAATCTTCATTGTGGTATAGAAACACATGTGTGGGACCTCGGGGGAAAGCGCCGCTCTTCGGTAGGTCACGGCATGTCAATGCCCCTCTGCATTTTCTAGCTCCAGTACTCCAGGAAAAGACGCGTAATTGCCGCGTGTTTCTACAGGGGGGGGTTATGCAGTCTCTTCGTGGGGGTTCCGCCATCTAGGAGCTACGGCCTTTGAAGTTTTTGTAACCTTGAGAAACTCTGGAAACACCCCATCGAGGCACCGCTCTGTGCAAAGGGCTTTCCAAGCAAAACATTAAACACGCGTGTACTCGGGAGGGTGTGACCGTCCCGGGTCTACCGATCGCTTGTGCACCTACTCGAGACAGTTTCCAAAATTGTGGCCGACCTGTTGAATTCTTCAAACTCCCGTGGGTGTGTTGTGATCCCGATCCGCATTCCCGGCATGAACTGCAGAACGCTCGACACGGAGACCTTCATCATTGGCAGCAGACGGGAATACCCGCGCATGAAAGCGCATATGTGACCGCGCGTGGTGGTGCCGATGTATTCCGTCGCGGCTGGACCCTGACTCTCCTCGTCCCCGGAAACAATCTCCTTGTTGTTACGCTCTTGAGGAGCGGGGGCTACCAAAGTCGGGCCATTGCCGGCATCAGCGCTACCGTGCCCGTTCTCCTCTTCCTTGTCGTTCGTGTACGACCCAATCGGTGGTGGGGGCTCGTGGGTGTTGCACATAACGACCCTTCCGCCGTGGGCCTTGGCGAATTCATCCGCAAGATGAGCCGCGGGCAACTCATTGAAGCATAGCCGGCACGTGCTGCCAAGACCCCTCCAGTCGCAGTTGAAGTCCCCATACCGCCCGCTTCCGCAACGATAATCACACACCTGAGCAGACCGCAACCGAGAATCAGACGACGAGCTTTATCGTAAAACGTGTGTTGGAACACTGCATGACCATGATGTATTGCGAGTTATGCATACATCCATGCTAAATACGTGTTGTCGGTGGAAGCTTTCTCGCGTAGTCATTGGAGAAATACATTATCAAATTGAGAACGCCCGACCTTCGCCGTGTGGGCGCTTGGTGAAGAGAAGGACTCCTGTCTGAGGGTAGACAGAGGAAGCAAGTGAAGGACATGCCCCCCTCGGGCGGTCCGTCCGTCTCTCTCTCACGCTTTCTCTCTCTCTGAACCAGTTTCTTCATACTCTTGGCGCCTCTGCTCCTCATCTACCCGTGTTATCCACCGACCCCATACGACAAGCAAGCAAGACAACAACTCGAGAAAGTGTTGTGGTCTCTACGTGGACGTGCTCCTCATCGAGTGCACAGTTCCGTGTGGTCCTACCACCGATCTTGCTGCTGATGGGTACAAGCTGGGCTAGCCAAGAAGCTAACAAAATGGTTGAAAGCCAATTACACCACGATTTTATACGAGTTGGAACCTGAAATTTTGACATGTCGTTCGTATTAGTACAACAAATACAACTGCTAGCCGTACTTCATATTTTTGGTGTGTTTTCATGAAGTATCCCTATTAAAGTAAAAATGGGAATCGTTTTGTTGTGTATAGGAGGACCAAAAACTAAAAAATTAAATGTACAGCTAGCTGTTGTATTGGTTTTAACAATACCAACCACATGTCAAAATTTCAGATTCCAACTCGTAAAAATCGTGATGTACTTTTAGATAACCTCACATGCCCGTAACTATCTTGTGTTTTGTATCCGATTATTTTCGAGGCCGTAACTCTGATGGAAGATGATGTGAGCCTTGCAACTACCATCATTTTTCTCGCAATGCTCCCAAGTAAGCGCACACCAAATTTCAGCGAATTCTGTGAAACTTTTTTTTTCATGCTGATTTCGGTACCGAAAAGTATCCCCCACTACGCCTCCAATCGATCGTTTAATACCTAAATCAACTCGGATTCGAAAATTTTTGGCATCTTCGTTTTCCCTATTGTCTCGTAAGAGTAACCACCAAATTCCAAGCCTATTTTCGTGGAAATGACAGCATGAGACGCGAAACAACGAAAGTGAGCTTCTTGGCTGGCCTAGCTTGTATTGTACGAGCTTGACGGCTTCAATACAAGCTGGTTCACGCAAGAAAAACAAAAATTGTTGCCCGCGAATCCTTCGCCCGCTTTTTTGGAGATAAGTCACCAAATTTTGCACACTTGTCCGCAGGGTCGATCCCAAACTTTTCACGAGTGGGGTTTTCGAATTTTTTTTATTCGCCGAATAGTCGGGGTCCCGCACGTTCGTGGGACAGAAAGGCTGCGCTGGACCCTGAATATTCGGTGAATAAAAAAAAAAAACGAAAACCCCATACGAAAAAGTTTGATATCGATCTTGCGGACAAGTGTGCAAGATTTTGTAACCTATCTCCAAAAACCCGAACGAAGGATTTGCCTTTTGTAACAAGAACCTGAAATTTCCTCTGCGAACCCCATATTTACTTGGATTTAGACTAATATGAGCTTTTTGGGCACAACTTTACGCTTGAATCGACCGTTCTAACTCAGTTTCGCCGCTTGGGCAACAAATCTTTGTTCAATCCTTCAACGCCGTACACCGGAGCCGACCGAATTCGATTTTTTTATTTGAGACATGTATACCAGCTTCCGGGGGTCCTATCCGTGAGACCCCGACAAGCCGGTAGGAGCGGAAAAACTTCGTGAATACCACGTTGAAGCATATTTTTTCGCATTCGTAGCATCAATACCTGTCAAGCTGCCAAATTTGGGGACGATCCAATCTTTCTTCAGATATATTCGACGGAAACCGTTTCGATGCTTTCTGGGGGGTTGCTCCGCACAAACGGCGGCCATCTGACGACGCCAAAGGGCCACAACACCGGAATCCCACCTTTTTTGGCGTAACTCGCACCAAGGGTGGCCGTTTTCGCTTCTGTTTTTTTTGTTGGATTCCCTAGAGCTCGAAGGTCATTTGAGGTTGAACTCCGGCCGAAGAAGGTTCGTGATGCATTCGTATTTTCAGTTGTTAATTCTCGAACAGTGTAAAGGCCGCTGAATGGCCAAGACACGTTAGTGCGCCTACTAACCACCGTAGAATGGTGTTCTCGGAAATTCCAGCTATTACACTGTCCTAGGCTAAGCGTGGGGGTCACGATGATATAAGTATGTGTTGATTGGCGAGTAATTGCGTTCATTATCAGTGGGGGAACAAATTTGGGGTTTGTTGCGTGAACCAGCTTGTACTTGTTCCCGCCGACGGGGCTGGTGGAATACTGAAAAGCCGTCCACGCAGAGCAGCGTCCCAAATGGGTTCCGAGTCGACTCATGTTAAACAATGATCGTTCTTTTTCTTCACAGCCTCCTCGTAAAAATTAAAGGCGGGGAGCGGTTGAAAGAAATGGGGCAAGGCGTGAAGCTACGATGATTGAAACCCTTCATGGCCCTCCTCGACTTCGACGAGGTGGGACCCTAAACCCTGCCGTACACGTTCGCGGCTCGGATAACAACCGCCGCCGTGAGGATTCGTGTCCAATGTCTACCCCAGGCCCACGAATGGAAGGAAGAGTCTCACCGTATCCGAGGCGTCCTGGCATGCAGTTGTGCAGCTCGAAGCCGGGGGCGGCTGCGTGGTGTCGCACATCACCACATGCATATCTGGCTTCGAGGGATTCGCCGACGCCGACGCCAGCTTGTGGTCTGCGACCAAGGCTAGCTCCTCGTCCGTGTAGCACAACCTGCAGGTACCACCGAACTGCGATGGGTCACCCGCGCCGCAATCGTGACCGCCCAAGCGCGGTCCTGCCGGCGACCAACCAGTGGCGCAGCTTTCGTCACAAAAGGTTGATACGCCAGTCCCGATCTTGCCCGAAAGTGCCGACCCACAAGCGCTGGTACAGTCAAGGCTATTGCCATCGATGGAAAGTGCTCCCATTGGACGTCCGAAGTGGTTGATGGAATGCGCGAGACTCCCTTCGCTTTGAGAACTGCCGTGGATGAACAGCGTCTCCTGTGCAACGGCCTGTGCCACATGCTGGTCGCTGACGTCGAAGTGTCCAACGTTCGTAATCTGTGGTAACGAGCAGAGGTTCGGTGGATCACCAAGGGAAAACTAGCTTCACCTCTGCAGTGTAACGCCTAGTTCCCGTTTGGTCAAGTTGGTCTGGTGGTAGTCTACGCTTCACAGGTAGCTTGCACTCTTACAAATTGTGAGGTCGCTCTCAGGATCAACAGTTGCATATTCTCCTTTTGAATTTCCTCGACAAATTTTCTGGGGCCCACGAGGAAGACTTGACCCATAAGACATGATCCGCGCGGCATCAAGCCTCCGTAGAATCCTGAAATGTCCCTGCCACTACAATGAGAAAAAAAACACTACGACCCAAGCTTCAACGAGTAAACCGGGCCTATTCCGCGTGACTCTCCAACATTGGCTTCATGCCATGGCATGCAAAGTGCTGTGTGTCCCTAAACTATTCTGCCAGAGCAGCGGGACTGCAGGATGAGAATTAAACGTCGGCGTCGGAACCAACAAGTCTTCAGGGCCTGTGGCCATCTCCTAATTCTTCCGTTTCGCAATGTATTGCCAAATTTGATTTCTATCGAGGGTGCCTACTGGTCAATCGGATACCCGAGAGTCCGTTGCGAGAAAAGCACAGACGGCACTTGCATACAACGGTAAGGCCCATACCAGCTTCGTTGGGACGAAGAGTGAAGAGTATCGCTGCCAAAGCATCCAGCTGTAGGGGAAATCCGACAGCGTGGCCCACAGCGCAACGTCATACCTGACAAATTGTGAAACACGGGCACGTGCAAAACATATGTATGTGTGGCCATCATCTTTGTCTAAAGTCACGAGACGCCAGTCCACACCCACGATGAATACCGCTGTCACGGGCCCATGTGCTCAGTATCATTTCTCTGTCTCTCGGCCTATTTATGTGTCTGTCTATCTGCCTGCCTGCCTGCCTGCCTGCCTGCCTGCCTGTTTTCTCTGTCTCTCCAACTCTCTTCCCCTCTCTCTCTCTTCCTCTCCGTCTCTCTCCTTGTCCTTCTATCTCGTCACTTTCACTCATCATCTTCGCCCGGAACAGTTACACCACATCTTCCACATCCATGATCAGTGCAAGTGAACACGACCACAAGCATGAGTATGGTGGATTCCGCGTGGCATCTCGACAGTGTTCATCGGAGCAGTCAACCGGGAACACTTACGAATAGGAGAGATCCCACTTGGCGAGAGTGAAGTTTACGAACTGGGTGAACGCTTGGTCGGTGTTGTTGTCTGTACAAGCACGTTGGAGGGCGCCGTTCGGACAGACAGATGGATACATCAGCCTCAACAACGACGGAAACGTTCAGGATAATCGCGCAACTTGAGATGAATAGTGGATTGTTGACATGGTGCATAAAAATACATGAAGAGAACACAGCTTCCAAACAAAGAGCGATCAAGACGGATGAAGTGGGTCGCGCACAGCTAATGACCTCGTACAATACTCTCAGAGCTGAGTAGATGCCCAAGAAGCACCCAATCGACCGTTTTGTCAATTTCACACAGATCCGTGCTTGTCATCGGTCGAGGTGGACCCTCGATCGCTCACATAAGGCGTTGCCGTTGAGGTGTCCCAGAACGTGCCACCTGTCCGGCACTCTTGCGGCTGAATGAAACTCAGTGCCAGCTAGAGTGCTCCCCTTCATCCAGAACGGCTCAGAGGTAAAGGCGGCGTCGTATAGCTTCGAAAAACTTGTAGGATGAGCCACCAACACATCCCACTCAATGATGGCAAATGCATCGTATTCTTCAAGAGCTCCCACCACAACGGGGTCGAGGTACATCTTGTAGAACATTATTGAAGCCCCTGTCGGGTACACGTTCTCCTGCCGTAAAAAGGGTGTATATCATGCAATATGTCCACGGCAAGAGTTGGGTGGAAGCAAGAGGGAGTGAAACGTTGGATCTCTCGACACGCCTTGACTGCGAGGTGTTCTGAAGGAGCACAGGGCTGATGTTTTCATTGCCCCCTCCAGCCTCAAAGGCTGTCATCATCAGCACAGCAGTGCAGGCGAGCAGATGAGCAATGCATTGTCAACAAAAAGAAAGAATCAACATGTCGGCGGAAAAAATGAAAAATGGACTAAGAAGTACAGCTCAGCCGAGGATCCTACACCATGTGAGTAAAATCAATACAATCCAGCAGCGTTGTATTTGTAGCTTGTACGCGATAGTGGTGACGAAATGCGAAAGTCAGGCCTCGACCCGATTTCGCCGTCTCTAATGTATTGGCCGCACTGAACCAGCGTTCGGGATGTTACATGGAATGAACCCGGCGGCCTTCACTCATTGACAATATTTTATTGATCCAATGATCCGTGCGTAGCCTTCGGGGTCCTAGATTGTCTGCGGCCTGTCGCGGGAGATTTAACGAGCATGACGCGAGCCCTGCGGAAACAACATCTACAATACTCTCAGCGTAGACATTGTGAACCACCAAATCACGACGTCTCCCTCTCCCAATGAAATACCAGCCCCGGACCCGTTGTAGAAAAAATTCGATATGTCCACGTCGTTGCTTGGCAGTCGTGGGGATATTCAACGTCAAGAGCTCCACGACTAGCGTCGAATTCGGCCTCGGACGCTGTATGTATACAATAGCACACATGAAGAAGACGGGCGTACATACCTCTGGAAGAAGCCTCGCGTCAATAATCTTTGTTTGCCGAAAGCATCTGGATGCCTGATGTGGGACCTGAGGTAGGTTGTCGGCGTCCGCAAGATCTTCGGCCTTGTAGATCACCAGGTCCATACCATACAGCGTGTTGTCGTGACAGGTCTCTGGCCACTTGGACAGGGCTCTCATCGCATCTTCTTGGTCGCCATCGTAGACCGGCACTACAACGGCCAGTAGCTTGTCACGCGAAGCTCGACCAGAGTAGATGCTCTTCACCCCCCCAGCCCTCCAAGCCCGCACGACCGCCACCACCACGCCGAGGGCATAGCATGCGGCTGCTGCCGCTAGCAAGAATCGGATTTTCCCTGACCATAGCATGCTTCAGAGAAACGAGGCACCCCGGCCCCCAGACAGGGTTGACAACGACGGTGTAGGGTGCAGACCTGGGTGGCACCAACGGACGCATCGAGGGTATACAGGAATTGCAGGGACAGGCGGGAACTCTTCAACAAGGGGCTGCCATGCGGTTTCCGATGGTGTGAACTTCTAGAGTTATCGCGTTCATTTGCCGGGACACGCGAGAAAACCCATCGGGAAACTGTGTGAAAATTGTGGATATGATGAAATGAGTTCCAGCTCGTGGTGTCGGTTGAGCTCAGTCAGGTCCATGGTCTAATGACTACGGTATGTTACGCGTTTGTACCAAACCGGAGTCTTTCCTTGCAGATACAGTCACCTGCCCATCCTTACGGAAAATGCCGGGGGCAGAAGAGAGGGTCAGAGAGAAAAGGAACAATGAATGGGGGAGAACGTACGGTACGCAGCTGAGGGACAAGCTAGAGGACCAGAAGCCAGGCACGACACTCTCCGCATGATTCAGACGCTGTTTCTCCTGCCCTGTAGCGGCGTGGTTGACCGTGCAGGCTAAGCGGGTGGGGGCAACGGAAACTTTCTGTCAGATGGAAAAAAAATCAACACGACATCATCACAAACGCTATCCATGCATTCGAGCCTTTCGCTTGTCGATCGTTGCCTTGGCGCTGCTTGCAGTGGGCCAAGAGGTCTTACAAACACACCCGCCATCCTCCGAGATGCCTACTGTAGACATCAGTACCCGCGCTCTATTGAGTCGCCAGGGCTCACATCAGGAGGGGACAGAGAAATACAGAGAGGTACCAAATGCCATCTATGACCCTACAAGCCCTCGCACTTACCATTTTCACTGATCACTACAATCAACTTAATGCAGCTAGACGACTTGTCATTTCAAGGTCTACAAGGTTACCTGCCCTACCGGCCGCAGCGTGACCCCCCATCAACCCTTTCATGACTCTGTCTTTGGCCACCACCGTGTCGCGGGCTGCCCGCATGGCCTATGGGTGGAGATAGCTGTTGCGTCTACAGACAGTACTCATTGACTCTTCGTCTGCACTTGTGCCTCATTATTTTCTGCCGCGGAAAAAAAACGACGACGAAACGGTACCTACGTGTAGGCCCCAAGGGGTTAAAATTGTTGTATTGGTCAGCATGAAGTCTTCAACTACCAAGGTCTCTAAGCGCCGGTGCTACCTGTCGAGTGCAGCACCAGGGAGGTGAGGTGAGCAAAACAAATTCGCACACACGAAGGATATTTTCATCTTCCCTCTTCCCGCGCCCAGCGTGCACCCAAATGCATCCCTGGGCAGAGACCCCAGAGGACCACGAGGAGCCCCCTTCCTTGCGGATAAGGTCACCAGAATGAAATTGCTAGAATACTAGTGCCGGTAGCTGAGTCGCTGAGGACGAAGGGTTGAGTGAGATCGAAAGTGTAGGCGTTTTACCGCCATCTCATCCTACATGTGTTTTGGTATGTACGATGTCTTCGGGCAGATTTTGAGAAAAAAATTCTTTCTTCTGTTCTGCTTCGACCTACATACTCTGGCCAACCAAGCGATTGTTTCTTCGATTTCGCAACTCCCTCGGGACTACGCCAAAGACTGAAGACACAAACGACGCCAGATAAGTGTTGAATCGCCACCCCATGGCCCAAGCAGGGAAATAGGGATCGCATCGCCCATTTTTCATTATTATTGTGTTCACAATCTCAGTAAAGGGTCTTCAGCTTCACATGGATAGGCGCAAGGGTCGACCATCTCGATCCTCATGCCGAGGTTGGCCCGCTCTGTGACTTAAGCTCATCTGCTTCATGCTCGACGTCTCGTCACCACAAAAAGACCGGCAGACTTCTATCGCAGTCTGACCGCCTGCCCCATTGGGGGGCGGGGGACCAATCCACCCCCCTACTATAGTAGCTAATTTTCGAGAGCACAACAGTAGCGGAGGACTGCATGTCGTGGTAGTTTTGCCGTCCTCACATGTCTCTGACTCAATACCGGCGCGAGGGTTGTTTCTTTCGAAGCCGCTCACTCTGCAGATGATCACTCTGTGAGAAGTTTCATGCATGCGCGGCGATTCTGGCCTTGCTGGGCACCTCGGCTCTTCATGGGCAACCCCAACACCATGTCATTGCGGCGTAAGATTGTTCGCGAAAGAATCCCCAAGGATTTTGTTGCAAGAAGGGAAAATTCGAAAATTCGTCCTCCGCCGGTCGCCTGCATTTCATGTCTATGCTGCGAAAACAGAGGTGAGGAAAGAAGGAAAGGAGACTTGTTGAAGGTACTCACGTGGAAAGACCTGGCTTTGCCTTTCCCCTTTTCCCCTTCGAGGTGCGCTTTGTGGTTGGGGTTCCAGAAGTGCTGGCGGTGGTGGTCGCCACCTGTGGAAGGGCACGAGCGAAGGGCACGAATGGAAGCGGGTCGGTCCTCAAAGTGTTGTGTAGGAGAGAACGGTCGCATAGTGATGAAAAAAAAAAGAAAAAGCGAACGTGTACTTGCACATCGTCGTCGATTCTGAAGCAGCTCGTCACGGCGAAGCGGCGGCGTTAGGCCTACTATCAAATCGACACGATAACTCAAGAGCGCCGATGGCGCCGCAGCGGGCGTAATTCGGCCTCCCCCTTCGCGGAGCCTGCGGGAGGCCCTCCCTCCCTCCGCAACACCCGGCCGCCGCGGGGTCTGGGCACTGAGCGCCGGCCGAGCTGCCCGCGTCGTCGAAACCGCTCCAGTCCAAACGGCGTGTTCGTGCCTGCATCTGCCCCCTCCGACCACTTTGCGCGGGACTGTGAAGAAGCGCTCTGTGATTGGCCCACAAGAAACACTTCTTCTGCTTCTGCTAAGTGTAGTTGGCGTGGAATGTGCATCTACTGGCGGTGTACTTCAGCGATGGTGCATAGGCGTACCGTGTGCTCGTGTGAAGCTGCGATACGTGCACTCGTCGGTGCATGATTCCTGCTGCTCCATCGCGGCTGAGATGTGGTCCGTGCGGAGTATGCCCTTTGTCCGCCAACTGCTGCGTACATCAGACAAGATCACCTACGGATCATCCTCGCAGTCTCATCACACATAGCTAAATATTCAATATCATCGCACATCAATAGAGCAAGGGATTTTTAGCTCATGCTCAACTCGCGCACTGCGGCCAATAAATCGAGTCGTACGTCCCGCGACGACATCGTGTGAGTATTAGACTTAACTACAACTACTGTATATCCGAGCCCTGGGATGCAAGAGTTCAATCACTGTAGCACTTTCAAATCAAGACGTTTATCTTCGGTACATCCGTCTGCGGTCGATCGCCTGAGACTATTTTTTTCGCCGGTCTTCGCCCGCCGGAGCGGGGCAGTCTTCTCTCGATTACAACGCCCTTGTAGCGAGCTCGAGACTCCAAAGGCGAGTAGAGTTACAGCACGGTGAACTCACGCAACATTTTTTTCAGTAATTGAGCTAGACGTTGTGGTGGTGCGGTAAATCGGTTTTGGTCGATTTTATATGATGTTAAAACCTATTTTTCGGTTGTCTTCGCCAACCTTACCGTACCAATCTCAACATCACAACAACGCCCCTGTCACAAGCTCGAGACTCCAAGGGCGAGGCGAGTTACCTCACCGTGAAGTATGCTTAAGCCTCCTGCACAAGGACGAATCTACGCACGGCACTGTCACCTCTAAAGAATCGTGCAGCTCGTTGGACAAGGCATTGTTGGAGAAATCTTCTGATACTAAAATCCAACACAAAGAAAAACAACAACCTTCCCGCCAGGGCTAGGTGGTGCTTTCTGCTCTCATCAGTAGGCGCCACCGTGAAGAGGCATCGTGTGTGCTGGCGCGTTCAGGTTTACTACTGGAGCTGAAATATCGAAGGTCGCAGCAGCCTCTGAAAACAGCCCGAAATCTGCGCCGGAACCAAGCGGAATCCAACATTTGTCACAGCCGTGCTCACCGCCACGGACCGTAAACCCCTGAACGGAGGGTTGTCCGCAGTAGCGAGTGTCATCAGCAGTAACCCCGCAGTTCAGGAGACTGGAATCAGTGGCGGCGAGCACGGCTGTGACAAATGTTGGATTCCGCTTGGTTCCAGCGCAGATTTCGGGCTATTTTCAGAGACTCCTCCGACTTTCGATATTTCAGCTCCCGTAGCAAACCTAAATACCAGCACACACGACACCTCGTTTCACGGTGTCCACTACTGATGACAATAGAATCCACTCACCACCTAACTCGCAACACTGACCATATTTGAGCGTCTGCCGTTTTGGCTCTTTCGACTTGAATTTAGAATGGAGGTGTGCTTTATCTTGATTTCAAAGGAGGCAAGTGGGAGTAGACGTGAAGTCAATGTTTTGAGTAGCCTCCCTCTACTGCCGCCCTGTGCGAGAATCAACGATTTCTGTTTTTCGCGATTCCTTCCGACTGGTCTTGTGTGTCTGTTGTGCATTTTTTGGTGACCTTGCGATTGTTTTCAACTTGGTCAACATCAAACTTATTTTGCTGCCATGCCTTCAACACTGACGACAGTTATGTTGCGGTACACTACATGCCGTAATAGTGGGAGAGATGACACCGGGTGCGATCGCTTATTTAGATGTTTGTTCCTCGGGTTATTTATCGCACCCCCCACCCCCCTCGAAGACGACAAGTTCAAATGTGATTGCGGCTTCGAATGCGAAGACCGTGTTCATGTAGTCGCGGAATGTCTGTGGTACGAAGAGGAGAGGGAAGTGTACATGACTGAGCTGGGAAAAATAGAAGGGAGGTACAGGGAGATGTTTGAGGCATGGAATAGAGAGGAGAGGACGGTAGCTGTACTGGGGAGCAGGACGTGGTTTGAAAAGGCGGGAAGGGATATCGTTAGGATAGACAGACTGGGGAAGACATTTTTGAGCCACCTTTGGCAAAGTAGGAAGGAACGATTGGCCATCGGTGATCGGTCCTGTGGGAACAATGCTCCGTCCTCTCGAGGACGCGTGGTCAATGGTCTAACCGCTAAGGCATGCAAAACATA